GATGTGATGTATGGTTTTGGAGTTATGAAAGTTGGGTAGAAAGTATGTTTTAACTGTTTGTATAATTGAGTTTCCTCTCAGGATAAGGGGAGGGAATATGTGGGATGTAACTGTGATATGATTGGTTGTTTTATCCCTCCCTGTGGGTGGTCCTGTATTTGAAACACTGTAATAAAAACCAGGCTAGGTGTGCCAGCACCTCAGACCACTGCTTGACCCTCAACACGGAGCCTTGTCTCGTTCTTGGGGGGATTCACTGTATGCTGTTAGAGACTGATTGCCAGGAGTGTAAGCTGATTGTCTGCTTTTCCTGTTAGTCTGCTAGCAGCTATTTGGGAGGTTCCAGTTCGGGAGTTGGAGTGCTATTTTGTATCCAGTTCGGGAGTTTGGTGTTCTGCAGTAGCTGTGCCTGTATCTCTGGAAAGGGGGCTGATCGCCTAAACGGTTTTTACCCCTTTTGTGCAAAACGGTCCGTTACAGTATGTATCACAGTAAGGGCTAGTTATGATAGTATGTGTCACAGTAAGGGCTAGTTATGATAGTATGTGTCACAGTAAGGGCTAGTTATGATAGTCTGTGTCACAGTAAGGGCTAGATATGATAGTATGTGTCTAGTAAGGGCTAGTTATGATAGAATATATATTACAATGGGAGCTAGTTATGATAGTATGTATCACAGTAGGGCTAGTTAACTGATAGTATGTATCGCACAGTAAGACTAGTTATGATAGTATGTGTCACAGTAAGGGGCTAGTTATGATAGTCCTGTGTCACAGTAAGAATGTAGATTATGATAGTCTGTGTCACAGTAAGAGCTGGATTATGATAGTATGTATTACAGTAAGAGGCTAGTTATGATAGTATGTCACAGTAAGGGCTATTTATGATTGTATGTCACAGTAAGGGCTAGTTATGATAGTATGTGTCACAGTAAGGATTAGTTATGATAGTATCTCACAGTAAGTGCTAGTTATGATAGTATGTCACAGTAAGGGCTAGTTATGATAGTATGTCACAGTAAGGGCTAGTTATGATAGTATGTCACAGTAAGGGCTAGTTATGATAGTATGTGTCACAGTAAGGGCTAGTTATGATAGTCTGTGTCACAGTAAGGGCTAGTTGTGATAGTCTGTGTCACAGTAAGGGCTAGTTATGATAGTATCTCACAGTAAGGGCTAGTTATGATAGTATGTGTCACAGTAAGGGCTAGTTATGATAGTATGTATCACAGTAAGGGCTAGTTATGATAGTATGTATCACAGTAAGGGCTAGTTATGATAGTATGTGTCACAGTAAGGGCTAGTTATGATAGTATCACAGTAAGGGCTAGTTATGATAGTCTGTGTCACAGTAAGGGCTAGTTATGATAGTCTGTGTCACAGTAAGGGCTAGTTATGATAGTATGTCACAGTAAGGGCTAGTTATGATAGTATGTGTCACAGTAAGGGCTAGTTATGATAGTATCTCACAGTAAGGGCTAGTTATGATAGTATGTGTCACAATAAGGGCTAGTTATGATAGTATGTGTCACAGTAAGGGCTAGTTATGATAGTCTGTGTCACAGTAAGAGCTAGTTATGATAGTCTGTATCACAGTAAGGGCTAGTTATGATAGTCTGTATCACAGTAAGGGCTAGTTATGATAGTATGTGTCACAGTAAGGGCTAGTTATGATAGTATGTGTCACAGTAAGGGCTAGTTATGATAGTATGTGTCACAATAAGGGCTAGTTATGATAGTATGTGTCACAATAAGGGCTAGTTATGATAGTCTGTGTCACAGTAAGGGCTAGTTATGATAGTCTGTGTCACAGTAAGGGCTAGTTATGATAGTATCTCACAGTAAGGGCTAGTTATGATAGTATGTCACAGTAAGGGCTAGTTATGATAGTATGTCACAGTAAGGGCTAGTTATGATAGTCTGTGTCACAGGAAGGGCTAGTTTAGTATGTGTCACAGTAAGGGCTGGTTATGATAGTATGTATCACAGTAAGGGCTAGTTATGATAGTCTGTGTCACAGTAAGGGCTAGTTATGATAGTCTGTGTCACAGTAAGGGCTAGTTATGATAGTATGTGTCACAGTAAGGGCTAGTTATGATAGTATGTATCACAGTAAGGGCTAGTTATGATAGTATGTGTCACAGTAAGGGCTAGTTATGATAGTATGTGTGACGAGACCAATCTCGCCACATTGAGTAGCTCTGGCTGCTCGCCTGCCGCCTTTGACTATGGCCCCCTTTAAAGACATTTTATTTTGCCCGGCAGTGCCGTATTCGCTTTCTGCCTGGGGTTCGGTAGATTTGTTTGAATGTGTTATACCCCAGAGAGGAATCCCATGGAGCCCATTCGTATGAAACTGACTGTAAAGACTTTGGCTCCATGGCGATTAAACTGTATTCGTGTGGTCTGAGCGCCATTCACTTAATAATGTGCGCTCAGACCTGAGCTATCTGGGGATATGTGAAATGTCTGTGTGTTATGTGTAAAATGTAACTTTATGTATTTTAAAGTGTTTTACTGTCTTTGTGTCTTTTTGCAACCATGTGCTTAATGGAGTCTTGTGTCTGTCCTGGGAGATAATTGAATTACTCTCCAGGATAGAAGACTCTGAAACTGGTTTGGGCCAGAAAGCCATGCTTCATTTAGTCACAAAGGACTTTTTACTAACTTTTGAACCCTTGTCTGATTTGTGCCATTTTTTAATATGTTGTTCCCCTTAATGGATTGATTGTGAATATGTAATTTTATGTGAATGTGATGTATGGTTTTAGAGTTATGAAAGTTGGGTAAAAAGTATGTTTTAACTGTATGTGTAATTGAGTTTCCTCTCAGGATAAGGGGAGGGAATATGTGGGATGTAACTGATATGTGATTGGTTGTTTTATACCTCCCTGTGGGCGGTCATGTATTTGAAAAGACTGTAATAAAACCAGGCTGTGTGTGCCAGCACCTCAGACCACTGCTTGACCCTCAACACGGAGCCTTGTCTCGTTCTTGGGGGGATTCACTGTATGCTGTTAGAGACTGATTGCCAGGAGTGTAAGCTGATTGTCTGCTTTTCCTGTTCGTCTGCTAGCAGCTATTTGGGAGATTCCAGTTCGGGAGTTGGAGTGCTATTTTGTATCCAGTTCGGGAGTTTGGTGTTCTGCAGTAGCTGTGCCTGTATCTCTGGAAAGGGGGCTGATCGCCTAAACGGTTTTTACCCCTTTTGTGCAAAACGGTCCGTTACAGTATGTATCACAGTAAGGGCTAGTTATGATAGTATGTGTCACAGTAAGGGCTAGTTATGATAGTATGTGTCACAGTAAGGGCTAGTTATGATAGTCTGTGTCACAGTAAGGGCTAGTTATGATAGTATGTGTCACAGTAAGGGCTAGTTATGATAGAATGTATTACAGTAAGGGCTAGTTATGATAGTATGTATCACAGTAAGGGCTAGTTATGATAGTATGTATCACAGTAAGGGCTAGTTATGATAGTATGTGTCACAGTAAGGGCTAGTTATGATAGTCTGTGTCACAGTAAGGGCTAGTTATGATAGTCTGTGTCACAGTAAGGGCTAGTTATGATAGTATGTATTACAGTAAGGGTTGGTTATGATAGTATGCCTGTGCAAGGCTAGTTACATAGTATGTCGCTGTAAGGGCTAGTTATGATAGTATGTGTCACAGTAAGGATTATTAGTTATGATAGTATCTCACAGTGGCGCGTTGGCGATAGTGGCGTCAAGAAGTATGGGCTAGTTGGCGATAGTATGCCTGCCAGTAAGGGCTAGTTATGATAGTATGTCACAGCAAGTGGGCTAGTTGTTATGATAGTATGTGTCACAGTAAGGGCTAGTTATGATAGTCTGTGTCACAGTAAGGGCTAGTTGTGATAGTCTGTGTCACAGTAAGGGCTAGTTATGATAGTATCTCACAGTAAGGGCTAGTTATGATAGTATGTGTCACAGTAAGGGCTAGTTATGATAGTATGTATCAGTAAGGGCTAGTTATGATAGTATGTGTCACAGTAAGGGGTGGTTATGATAGTATGTATCACAGTAAGGGCTAGTTATGATAGTATGTGTCACAGTAAGGGCTAGTTATGATAGTATGTCACAGTAAGGGCTAGTTATGATAGTCTGTGTCACAGTAAGGGCTAGTTATGATAGTATGTGTCACAGTAAGGGCTAGTTATGATAGTATGTGTCACAGTAAGGGCTAGTTATGATAGTATGTATCACAGTAAGGGCTAGTTATGATAGTATCTCACAGTAAGGGCTAGTTATGATAGTATGTGTCACAGGAAGGGCTAGTTATGATAGTATCTCACAGTAAGGGCTAGTTATGATAGTATCTCACAGTAAGGGCTAGTTATGATAGTATGTGTCACAGTAAGGGCTAGTTATGATAGTATGTATCACAGTAAGGGCTAGTTATGATAGTATCTCACAGTAAGGGCTAGTTATGATAGTATGTATCACAGTAAGGGCTAGTTATGATAGTATGTATCACAGTAAGGGCTAGTTATGATAGTCTGTGTCACAGTAAGGGCTAGTTATGATAGTCTGTGTCACAGTAAGGGCTAGTTATGATAGTATGTATCACAGTAAGGGCTAGTTATGATAGTATGTATCACAGTAAGGGCTAGTTATGATAGTATGTGTCACAGTAAGGGCTAGTTATGATAGTCTGTGTCACAGTAAGGGCTGGTTATGGTAGCCCATGCCACAGTCAGGGTTGGCTATATCAGTCAATATGCAAATTGAATAAGCACTCCAAGGAAATGTATTTCCATCTTAAAAGAGGACGCTATCTCTGGACTACATAAAATATAGTTTTCATTTATATAAAAATTTTAAAAATGAAGTACAAAAAAACGAAATTAAACTAAAGTGTTTTGTACGCTGTGTCTCTCATAGGGATTTTAGATACTGTGTCACAGTAAGGGTTAAAGGAACAGCTTAGCGCACTAACGATTTATTAGTGGCACAATAAGGGTTAATTAGCAGTACAGCATGGCACGGCAAGGGTTAAACAGTATAGTGCAGCCTGGCATGCTAAGGGTTAAATAGCAGTACAGCCTGGCACGGTAAGGGTTAATTAGCATAGTACAGTCTGGCACTGTAAGAGTTAATTAGTAGTACCGTCTGGCATGGTAATGGTTAATTAGTAGTACAGCCTGACACAGTAAGGGTTAATTAGTATAGTAAGGGTTAATTAGAAGTACAGCTTGGCAAAGTAAGGGTTAATTAGCAGTACAGCCTGGCACAGTAAGGGTTAATTAGCAGTACAGCCTGGCACAGTAAGGGTTAATTAGTAGTACAGCCTGGCACAGTAAGGGTTAATTAGTAGTACAGCCTGGCACGGTAATGGTTAATTAGTCGTACAGCCTGGCACGGTAATGGTTAATTAGTAGTACGGCCTGGCACGGTAAGGGTTAATTAGTAGTACGACCTGGCACGGTAAGGGTTAATTAGTAGTACGGCCTGGCATGGCAAGGGTTAATTAGTAGTACGGCCTGGCATGGGTTAATTAGTAGTACGGCCTGGCACGGTAAGGGTTAATTAGTAGTACAGCCTGGTACGGTAAGGGTTAATTAGTCGTACAGCCTGGCATGGTAAGGGTTAATTAGTCGTACAGCCTGGCACGGTAAAGGTTAATTAGTACTACTGCCTGGCACGGTAAGGGTTAATTAGTACTACTGCCTGGCACGGTAAGGGTTAATTAGTAGTAGTACGGCCTGGCATGGTAAGGGTTAATTAGTAGTACACACTGGCACTGTAAGAGTTAATTAATAGTACAGCCTGGCATGGTAAGGGTTAATTAGTATAACAGCCTGGCATGGCAAAGGTTAATTAGTAGTAAGGCCTGGCACGGTAAGGGTTAATTAGTAGTACAGCCTGGCACGGTAAAGGTTAATTAGTAGTACAGCCTGGCACGGTAAGGTCAGGAAGCGTTTGAGTTCCACGTTGAGCGAGATTACAAGTTAGAGAGCTCTAGCACACGCCTCTCTCTAACATATGGTATGATTTTTATGATCTGCACGTGCTATATAGGCTCCCAAAACATACGTTCTGTACAGATGCACTCACACACACTGACACACAATATGACAATCACCGCACTCTACGGACACACAGTGAGCAGCAAGGAGTCCTATCATTAGATGTGTGCAGAGAAATATAGGATGTACAGCACGCATACACATAACACACCATTGTACAGCGCTACGTAATCTGATGGTGCTATATAAATATTAAAATAATAACATGCAGCGAGCACAGAGTATAAACAGCACACATACACACAGAACAGGAACTATTTGAACAGTATACACATACATACACACACACACACAACATGCACACTTTAAACACAAAATTAAGCACTCAGTACATACATCAGTCACACAGAATTCACACAATATCCACGTCATGAATTTACTCAAAGATTACAAAGTATACAATCATTCACCCAAATCCGCCACGCAAACAGTATACACACACACACCGCAAACACATAGTATACACACACCCCATGCATTCAGTATACACACACACACACACACACACACACACCATGCATGCAGGATATATATATATATACACACACACCATGTATGCAGTGTAAATATACATACACACACACACCATGCATGCAGTGTACATATACATACACACCATGCATGCAGTGTAAATACACAAACACACACACACCACGCATGCAGTGTAGATACACAAACACACACACACCACGCATGTAGTGTACATATACATACACACACACACACCACGCATGCAGTGTACATATACACACACACCATGCATGCAGTGTACATATACACACACACACACACCATGCATGCAGTGTACATATACACAAACACACACAC